AAAGTCTCCTGGTATACCTTCACTAAAGATACCTTTTAATTTTTTTTTTTAAAAAGCAAATAAAATAAGCTTCTTTCCTTTCACCTATCTTTTGGTGACTTGGGCCATGGGGTTGTGTCTGTGGGTTCAGCCCCTGAGGTAGGTACACTGAACTATATGGGCCTAGCTTTAAAAAAAGGGGTGGGGGTGGGGAGATTCAGTTAAAGTTCTGCACCCAGCTGGCTCCACCCACACTGAACATACTCAGACAAACTGATGCTGATGTGACAGAGATGAGAGATATTACAAAACCAGATGATCACCATAGCTGCCATCATCTTTTCAGCTCCTTCCAGGTACCAGACTGACATCCTTAGAACAATCTCATAATTATGAACTTCATTTTACAGCTGCGGGCTCAGAGAACACACAGCTAGAAAATGGCATCCTTGATAGCCAAATCCAGGATGTGTGACTTCAGACACTGATCCCTGAAACAAGTGTCTTTTCAGAGGCGGATGGGTAAGTTCTAAATCGCAAAGACAGAATGAACTGGTTATATTCATTTAGTAAACCCATAATAGATCTACAATATGCCAGGCACTCAGCGGGGAACACTCAGGGAGACACAAGAGGAACACCAGTGGAGGAGTTGCATCCTCTAAGGGAGGAGGGGTGATCATGGTGAGCCAATGCTGAGTGGGAACCAGCCAGCTTTGAAGGGGTTTGAGCCACAATGACTAAGGCATGACGAAAACCTGTCCACTCATTCAGCTTTGGTGGACTGGATCCAGCCAACTGTTCACACCTCACAGAAACTCCATCTGTCCCTGGGCTGCTGCTTAGACTCTTCAAAACACCTGAAAATTAGTGCAAGAAAAATCCAGGTCTGAAGAGTTTTTATGTCAACACAAAGTTCCTGCTCTATGCCCAGCATGGGTGATACCAAGAGCCACTAAACTCTTTGTTTCATGATTCCTCAGCCTGGACAGTTTAGTAACAGTAAATTAGAAGGATAGTCAGTTGCAGAAGTGGCACTATGGGACAAGGTAGAAAGACTTGCAAAAACTAGGATTCAAAGGCCAACAAGATGGCCAAGGGCTGGTGAGATGGCTCAGCATGTACAGGCACTTGCCACCAAGCTTGACAACCTGAGTTGGATCCCTAGAATCCACATGGTGGAAGGAGAGAACCAATTCCCACAAGTTGTTCTCTGACTTCCATGTGCACACCATGGCATATGCACACCCACACCCTCCCCCCACAAATTTAATAATAAAAAAAAAGAGGACTCAAGATGCTCAAAAAGCAAAAGCTTCTCTGAGGACATCTTTGGGTAACACTGTACTACCACTTGCTCAATTCAGCAGGCTCCAAACAAGCTGCAGCTGAGGACTGGGTCCTCCTTTAGCCTTGGCAGATAGAAAAACAAGCAAAATTCAGCCCAGTTCATTTTGGGGGTACGAAAGTATAAATGAGTACAAGGATGTCCTAGTTTGTTTCTCCATTGCTGTGACAAAACGGTCTGACCACTACCAATTTGGGGAGGAAAGAATTTACTTGTCTTGTATCTCCCGGGTCACAGTTCATTGGGGAACCCAAGGTAGGAACTCAGGGCAGGAACCTGGAGGCAGGAGCTGGAGCACAGGCCGTGGAGGAATGCTGCTTACTGGCTTGTTCCTCTGGCCCCTGCTCAGCCTGCTTTCTTATGCAACACAAGCCCACCTGCCCAGGGGTGGCACCACCCACAGTGGGCTGGGCCCTCCCACATCACTCAATAATCAAGAAGATGCCCCTCAGACGTGGGCACAGGCCAGTCCAATGGAGGCTATTCCCCAAGTGAGGCTCCCTCAACCCAGGTGTGTCAAGTTGACACTAAAGTTATCTAACACAAAGAAGAATGTGTAGGGGGTTCACTGTTCACTCGTGTGAACAATGAAGGACAAACAGGATGGCCTGAAGGCAGGGAATGTATCTGCACCTAGAGTGACATACTCAAGTGACTAAGAGTGTGGGCCCAGAAGTCAGCGGTCTGCAGTCAAACCAGCAATACACTTATGTTTCCTGTGCCTCCTTATGGTCTGCATAAGATGACGCTAATGCTTTCTTTTTGTAGCCCAGACTGGCCTCAAACTTACTATGTAACTATGAATGACCTTGAATTTCTCACCCTTCTGTCTCAATCTCTGAGTGCCGTTATTACATATCTGGATCTTTTATGTGGTTCTAGGGTTTGAACCCAGTGCTTTGTGCTTGTTGGGAAAGCACTCTACTAACCAAGCTACACCCCCATACCCCACAGTATTACTTTTCAAAAAGAACATTGAGGATCGGGTGGATCAATATATAAAGTGATGGTGGGGACATGCTGGCTGTGATTGCCTTTTATCCAGTGCTTACTCAGTCCCTGGCATTTAAAACCTATTCAATAAATATTGAACAACAAATGAATCCACAAATGAATAAATAAGTGATGTTACTGAGTTAAAGAGGGAAAATCTATTTTGGAAGGTGCACTGTCCTTAGTAAGGTTTGCAACTGCAACCTTACTAGAAAGACTACCCTGCAAAACAGTGAAGAGACAGGCTTGAGCTCTAGTGTATGTTTGAGATGCCTGAGACATTTATCACTCATTCCTTAGCTCTTCTGCCTGCATGCCCAGCCATTTTGAACAAGCCCACAAAGAGATGAAGAGATCTTGATGAAATTACAGCATATCTTGGGCCAGAGAAGGCTGGAGGAAGAGCCCTGAAACCCAGGAGTTAAGCTGTGTGGTGTGGGAAAGTCTGATGGCTTCAAGTCCCAACCACCACTCACTCAACCCTGCCCCCAAACCAGTCCTGTGGGCTTTTCTTTCCTTAAATTAGTCTTACTCCAAAAGGGATACAAATAAACACTATCTTTAAACGATGTCAAGGATCCTAACTGTAAAATCTATTTGAAAACAAGAGAGGCTACTAACACAGCTATGAGAGGGTGTGGGGTGTACTGTGCACTAAACCCATATTCTGCAGATGAGGGAACTGAGGCCCAGTCAGAGAAGTCACCCAAAATCACAACTTAAGAGAACAGCAAAGACAGGTGAACTGGGTGTCCAGGTTTGCAGACTGCTGCAGGAGGTTTGGAGCCTCCTGCTGGGAATATGAATCCCTCACAAAAGGAAATAGAGGGAGAAAAAAGAGCCCTTGGGGGCAGATGGGGGCCGGCTGTAGTGGTGATGGCACCCAGGCTAAGGGGTGATCATTGTGGGGGCCACTGGGAGTCAAATGGGGAGAAAATTAAGCCCTTCTGCCCTTTCTGGGTGAGAGGAGGCTTCCAGACAAAGAACAATTCAAAGCGCCGGGGGTTTGCAGGTGGATCCCTATTCTGAAAAAGCACGTTAGGAGACCCATGCCCCCCACCCCTCACTCATTTCTATTCTCAGCCCAGATGTTGTGTGTGTCCTCACAGATACCATCTGGGGAGGGGGTGCCCCTCCTTCCCTGGCAACAGAGGGGGAAGGGCTCTGGCAAAGGGATCCCAAAGAGTCGCCAGGATCAACGCGGATCCCAGCCCCCGACCCCCAACACACACACACACACACACACACACACACACACACACACACACACACACACACACACACAATCTAGGAGTGTGTTAGCTG